GACTTGGTACCATGGCATCCTCTATGAAGGTGCTTTTTTGTAGTCTTCTAAAAACGCCAAAAGCGACAATGGCGTCTTGATGCGCTACGCCGATTCGGTCGGCTGGTGACGTCTTCCTCGAGACATTAAATGCCGATGTAACCCCCTAATAGAGACCTGATAGTGCTATGAGCTATGCCCACTTTGTGTGCGTGGCGTATATTTGCGCGTGTGTGCATGTAAAGCGGAAAGCGGGTAGACGGTATGAAGCGAAATTGGCGAAAATAGACCGGACCGAACTTCCCCGGAATGCAGATATTCGAGAAATTCGTAAAGCCAGCGTTTAGAGTACCAACTGCCGTCTCGTCTCACCCTCGTGTCGTCTGCTCATGAGACCGAATGTATATATCTTGCCGGCCTGTGTGTAGTGTGCACAACGGATAAGTGTGGACTTGTTCGCTTTTACCAACATGCAACTTGATGGCCAATTTTAGGCGCTTCTTTCGATGGCCCTTAACATGTCTTCATTCTCGATAGTTTACTCGCCCCCCTCCTTCTCCTCCCCTGCCTCTCTTATGCCCCGGTCGTCCAGCCTCCATTGGTTCTGCAACTGAGCTACAGTCGCCTCATGTGACGTTTCGTCTGCATGAGTTACGGCAAAAGTTGGTGTTCGAAGTTGACCAGAGCTATGTTGCTTATGAGATACCGGCCGGGAATCTGGTCTGGTGGGCACACCAGTACAGGCATCCGAGGCGTGAAGAAGACCGAATTTTGTCACCTCGCAATGGAGACACACACTCACTCAGGCACTCACGAGTCGGGCTCGGCTGATCGCACATGCAAAGTGTGCTCCGATCCGGCCGCTTATGAGGCAGGCCTTAATCACACTCTCCACCACTCCACCGTTGCATCGGATCGTCAGATCGCCGGCCAAATCTGATGGGCCGACCGTCGCAGCATGTACAGGAGACGGCACTAGCGCATGGATAGGCCAGAATCAACAAGTAACCGACGCAGACAAGAATGCTACACACACTCAGAGGCCGAAATGCACTGACGGAGTTGTCTGTGGGTCCTCAGACGGTTTCACATCGGACTCCAAGTATGTCTGTATGAATGCATTTTTCTGGTTCGAGTTGAGTCCAGCCAGTTTAGGCGAATTTGCGCCGATCAGACTCAGCTTCGGAAAAGGCCTGCTCGCGCCAGCGACTATTTTAAGCCCAATTTGTCAGGACTTGTGCAAGGCTCGTAATGCTGTGGTGCCTCCGCCTGGTAAAATCGAGTCTTCAAGGCTGCCAGATAACGGATTGGGTGTGATTATTGCTCAAACGGGCGTTTGAATGAATCATGTATGCGAACAAATGCACATCACAAGTGAAACACACAAATGAGGTGGATAGAAGGGGGGTTATTTTTCTGCTTATTCGAGCAAATACACGAAATTTGGAAATTAGGCGGTTACCTCATAAGAATCGCTTAATAATTCGATATAATGTGAGTTTAATACTCAAGGCAAAGTTGAATAGAAATGAATTATTTAATAAACTGCATAGAAAACCGAATAAATTTTGCTGGATTGTTCGAGAAAATTATTATTTCACAGACTTGTGACGCCTATCTATTCGTGCTGATCCTTCGTATATTTCTCAATAACCGCCAATATTGCTGCTGCAGTTCCATCAACATAAAATGTTTCCCGAGGCTATTTGATTCTGAGGCCAAAGTCCCAGTGCATATAATGCAAACCTGAGATAATAATAATAATCTCGAAAACTGCCCATTTTAAAAATAAGTAAAGTTTTTGGAACATTTTTCGTTCGTCATATGATAAACATCCTCAGAGCAAGGTATCATCG